TATATATATATATATATATATATATATATATATATATATATATATATATATACACATTTATGTAACAAAAAAATGAAAGTTGAAAATTTTTAGTAATCTTAAATTTAATAGATGTATATCAAGTAAAATTGTTCATTGTGTAAATATCGTGACCTTTGTTACTCTGTCTGAAAATCTTACACATGATTTCTTTCTACTGCAATATCTAGAGAATAAAGAGTCGTCATATGATAGAACTAATTCATAAATGCTAAATATGCGAAATCTATAGTAAAAGAAAATTTTTCTAATATGTGTGTGTGTGTGTGTGTGTGTGTGTGTGTGTGTGTGTGTGTGTGTGTGTGTGTGTGTGTGTGTGCGCGCGTGCATGCGCGTGTGTGTGTGTATGTGTGTGTGTCTGTGTGTAATGTACTAGATCATGAACCTCGTTATATCTTTAGATTCAGTGTACCCAAAGCTATGTACTTAAATAACGTATTGGCGACGGACTTAGTAACTGATTGAAATGCAGTTGCTCTACGAATATAAGAATTTTTCGCCTAAGGTTATTGAGTCGAAATATGCGTGTGCTGTCGATGTGTACATACAAAATAGTGTGTGCATACTTGTACGAGTTGCACATTATCTATCGAGACATCTAAGCTAACAGTTTAGTATAAATGTTTATGATCGAAACAGCAACGGCATAACAAATTTGCAAAATTCCACAAGTTCTGGAGAATGGAAGGACGTGCGAACACATGAATCGGGACGCAAAAGTAGTCCTGCGAGAAGCGCGTCGGTTAGAGGGCGACCAGTAAACGTAAAGTGGAAGATACAACTCCTGGATCGATATCCTAATGGCGGGCGGCGACAGGAGATGCCAGTTAGAGGGATGATGCCGAGACCTCCCTTTTCTGAGGGGTGTTGTACCCTTCTCGCGCGAGGCGCACAAGGTCAAACAAATGATTCATCGACCTAACGTAATAATATTATTACTGACAAAATAATACTGTACAGAGGGAATTTTATAGTAAAACTTGCTGTAGAATTTTGTATATAACTGAAGAATATAGACCGACATTTTTGTAATTGTTCATTATTCTTTGATCTCATACATGCTACTTATATTTTAGGAACTGAAATGTATTATATCAAAACATGTGCTATGTTTTTAGCGAAATCTGCTATTTCTAGTGAAATTTATTATGTTCCTTAGCAAAATAGACTTTACTGACAATCTATTCGTGAACTACTAAAACATAGTAAAATTGAAAAAAAAAAAATATATATATATATATATATATATATATATATATATATATAAACTATAATATTCTCTCCATATAAAGACCATTAGGTAAATTTTCGCAAAGGTACCCTAAAAGGTAGGTAATTGAAGAAGGATGACATTACCAATCATTTTTAGTTGTTCGGTATAAATACATGAACATTTAGTGTATAATGAAATATTATTAATTTAGAATTTAGAAGTATCTTGAGGTTTTATCACTATGTATGCAAACCTACAAGTAGTATATTAAATATTTTGATGAAACTATATTTTTGCAATTATTATCTACACTGATTTTACACAGATTTGTCTACCGACAAATTTACCAACAGAAACCCAGACGGCACAAATGTCCAAAATCGAGTCATAAGACGTCTTTAAGGCAACTTTAAGACATCTTTAAGACAATACTTTATAAACTTGTCTTAAAGACAACTTAAAGACATCTTAAAGACGTCTTATGTCCCACTTTTAGACATTATGCTGTCTGGAAAGTTATTAAGTAACGAAATTTTCTATTTTCTAATTGACGCTAAATCCCAAAATAAGGCCAACAGGTCTTTAGTATTACCTCGTCGGTAACGTCGTTAACGACAAAACACAACTCGAGCAATAGCCCCGTTCGTTCTTGATGCACTGATTGTATTTCAGACCAAATAGATACGTACTTGTATTTGCACAAGCAAAAACAAAAATAAAGTTAGGCAACATAACCGAAACGAGCGCAATTAATATAATTTTCAGCTTCGATTGGAGCCTTGGTTTTTCGGCGTTGCTATTCAAAAGGGTGAGAGATAATAAACGCGATATTTTCCTAGAAAGACCATCATAATAGCGAAAGGTTAATCAACCGACCGCCACACTCGCGAGTAGACGTCAGTGAACTTCGAGAGTCGCTGGCCCGCAAGAAAATAACCGACCTTCTTACAGGCTCATTGAATCTATTCCCCCTCTCTTTCTCTCTTTACCGGCACGCCGCGACGTGTTGCTCTCCTAGTTCACTGTCATCCTCGAGGCGCACTAAGAAGCGAAGATACTAGAGAGAAGGTAGAGCACTTCGGAAAGAGGAAATAGTTTCGCAAACAAAGTCGGTTCTCCTTATTATCGAGAATATATGTAAATATTCAGATAAAATAATCCATATGAACAGTGAAACGTTAAGATAAGAATCGAAAATTTTCTTTTGCTACAGGTTTCGCAAGATTATTTAACATTTATGAATTAGTTCTATTACGTGACGACTTTTTATTCTCTAGATATTGCAGTAAAAAGAAATCATGTATAAGATTTTCAGATAGAGTGACAAAGGTCGCGATATCTACACAATGAACACAAGTTTACTTGATATACACCTATTAAATTAAGATTATTAGAAATTTTCAATCACACGCATCGTATCGATAATCATAATTTCTGAAAATTGAAATTTGTTTACAAAATACCTATACTAAGCAATTTATGTTCCTAACGTATTCAAAAGTTATTGATACGAATAATTAGAAGCATAGTTTTAAAATATTTTAAAATCGCAGTGAATCACAAAATGACTTTCGGATATCCATATAGTTATCGTTTTCAAACATTTTAGTATCAAAGACGACACGACATATCGTAACCCATGACTCGAGTCAACGCAAAAACGATACAATGAACTCGGGCGTGCCGTGAGCGAGGGGCCTTCCTCAGCGACAGATAATAGAAGAAACGCACGAGTAAATACGTTGCTACTCGATTCGCTGTTCGTCCGTCGGCAACAGGCTTTCATGTAAAGGCGGCATCATACGGCGTTACGGTTACGAACGACCAATCGAGCCATCAGCGTTCCTTCGCGACGAGCCGTTACCTTTTACGTTCGCGAGTGTTATCGAAGCGATCGTCGCGACGCTCGAGGAGACATTACACTGCAGTGCATGTTCCCTGTTGCATTCGCCACGCAATTTCGATGCAATGAGCATCCTCTTGCAAACATTCACGAACATTATAAAGCAAATTGGAATTTATACGATCGTCGATCTCCTTTCAACTAAGAAATGAAACCGACAAATCTACCATTTGGTTAATTTCGGTTAATGTTTATGAGAAACAGCTTATTTGTGACAAAGGATGTACACGAGAGTCGGTGGTAATGAGTATTTCCGTGGCTGTGCCGGCTCGAGATAAAACTATAGGGAGTTGCACTAGTTACAATACGCCGCACCGTTCGAAGCAGGTAAAAGAGACGACGGAGAGCGACAAGGAGGAAGTAAGAGACAGAAGAGAACGAGGAAACGCAATCGCCTGTACAAAAGCGCGATCTCACGTCGTGATACGCGTGACGCACTGTGATTCTCCGCAGTCATCGATATCGGCCTGTCGCTGGGCCGGCTCGCCGAAGTGGAAATGAATCATACGCTTCTTAGAAACGCTCGATGATCACTCTTATCGCAATAATCACCGCTTTTTAGGATGCACACATTCGGTCGACAGAATAATAGGATGAACGTGTGTGATACGTGTGATCGAGACGAAGCAGCCGAAAACAGCGAGACGTGTTCAGAACGACGGCGACACGAGCGAAATATATCCGATCATACGCGAAATTCCTATGCTAGATAACGAGGAGGCGTATCTCCAGTTGAGCCGGGTCTCGAGCAGAAATGGCGACCGACGCGTCTGCTCGCGGTCATAACCACAAAAAAATCGACGGGTGCCGGGTGGCCTCGCCCGTCGTCACCCGAGCTGCTGCGGCGCGGTGTGGTGCGTCGTGTGCGTTGCGTTTCGCGAACTCTAGGCGGTGATACGCGGCGTCACGCATGCCACGACCCATCGGATATTTACCATTTTTCGTAGGAAGCCGTGTAGCCGATGAGCGGAGTCACGTGAACGAGCACTTTAACCGACACTTTCCCGTAGTATCTCGATCGTGGTGGAACTGGATAGCGCCGCAGTGTCCAGTCGAAAGGGTCGCGCGGCTAGCTCACGGACGAACGGGAAGGGAGGCTCCTCTCTCGCGACCAGCCGGCTCTATTTCTCTCTCTTTCTCTCTTTCTCCCCGCGAATCCTGTATCCCTACGCCTGCGCGCGCGCAGCGCCGCATGGCGGCTTATGCTGATTGGAGCGCGCCCGCGCCCCGTCGCGCTTCATCAAAAATTCGCGGTCCCGCGCCGGCTGCATGCGTGCGTACGTGCGTTGTTCTGCAATGAGCGCGCATGGCCACGAAAAATCGCGTAACCAACGGCAAACTTTCGACACTCGAGATTCTCGATATGTTGTTCGCCGATGTCGAGACGTACGCATAGATAGGCAAACGAGTACGCGCGCGCGCACAATACACGATACGTAATGCGCGAGCGTCGCATCGTGCGACACGCTCGTATATTATACGTGTAACTGGCTCGTCGATACTGCAACGAGCGAGAGCGCCACGTGAATCGTGCGATGGATACGATAGGGACCGATCGACCGGCCTGACGTACGCAAAATTGATTCGCCGAACCATAGAACACACGATTCGGGAAGAATTAATCATTGACGCGGAGGTGCGGGTCGCGTGGTCCAATCGCTGCCAGGGACATGGGAAAATTGCCTTATATGGGCAGCGGCGTACGACAATCTCTCACGTCGCGACTGCGCGCGCCGGCCCTCACAGAATGCTCTAAACACCGCTGCGCGGTGTTCCCGACCGAGACGCTCGACCGATAACACAGAATCAAGAGCGTATCAAGATCATCCATCCACCTGTACCTTGGGATGGATGTGAACCCAGATAGTACAGAGAATTCAAAAATAATGCAGTCGTATGTCACCAATTCTGAGTTCATTTTCAGATGCAAAAAAATCCTTCAAAGTTCAGTTCAGTGAAAATAATTCTTTTTGTATGTAAAAATGAACTCAGAATTGGTGACATACGACTGAATTCTTTTTTAATTCTCTGTGGTATCTGGGAAAACAAACTTTGTGCTCACGAAACGTTAGAGCTGATTATAAATGTAGAAACGTACAATAAGTTATAATGTGTAATAAGTAACGAATTAGAAAGCTTTTTGTAACAAAAATTTTTTGTTATGCAGAAAGTTCCATAGTTTATCGAGAACAAATTTAGCAGAATATGAAGGATATTTCTAAGAGACCAAGTATTGTTTGCGTTGCCCTTATAGAAATATCATACTAAGAATATTGATAATTACTTATTATCCAGTATTTTTAATACTAAAAATAAGTAATTATCAATGATTCTTAGCATGATATTTCTATAAGGGTGGCATACAGTTAATTGCATTTAAAATCTTTATCTGTTCAAGAAATGCATTGATCATCGTGGATGAAAAAAAATCGTATATCTCTAGTCTAAATTATAATAACATATATTATCCCTGATAAAAATTGAAGAATAAATAAAATGTAAACGAAGAGTGACGGAAATGTAAGTGAAACACTTACAAAGCGTAAATTGAAATATTGGAACGTAAAGCAAGCGGATACCCTTATAGAAATATCATACTAAGAATCATTGATAATTACTTATTATCCAGTATTTTTACTACTGAAAATAAGTAATTATCAATGATTCTTAGTATGATATTTCTATAAGGATAGTATACTAACCATTTGCTTTATGTTCCGATGTTTCAATTTACGCTTTGTTGGCGCTTCACTTACACTTCCGTCACTATTCGTTTACATATTTTTACGCTCCAATTTCAATTTTCACCAGAGGTATACATTATATATAGTGCGTTCCATAAGTTCAGCAACGGCAAGAAAACTCGGCGGGGGAGCATTTTAGAGAAAAATGTTTCGAATAAAAGTTGTAAAGCTTAAAAAGTCGCATTTAATGACAGTAGTTATTTGACCTAAGATGACGTCGCCAAGGTCAGGACAAGGTCAACTTTGCTTTTTTAGATAGAAATACATATTTTTTATTACGGCATTTTATTCTACGTGAAAAAGCAAACAACTTTTGTTTGAAAAAATTTTTTATACGACCTCTATTTTCTAAGATATTTACGTAAATATCTACAAAATTATTGGTTTCAATAATTTTTTACTTGAATTCTATCAACTTTACCGAAAAATATCAAGAGATAAAAATTATTTATTTTGTTCTCATAGAGCTCTGAGAATTTTTTCAGAATTTTATATTAATTTTTTAGTACTGCATTTTCTTGCATTTTCTTGAAGTACTAAAAAGTTAACACAAAATTCTGAAAAAATTCTTAGAGCTCTTTGAACACAAAATAAGCAATTTTTATTTCTTAATATTTTTCGGTAAAGTTAGTAGAATTCAAGTAAAAAATTATTGAAACCAATAATTTTGTAGATATTTACGTAAATATCTTAGAAAATAGAGGTCGTATAAAAAATTTTTTCAAGCAAAAGTTGTTTGCTTTTTTACGTAGAATAAAATCCCGTAATAAAAAATATGTATTTCTATTTAAAAAAGCAAAGTTGACCTTGTCCTGACCTTGGCGATGTCATCTTAGGTCAAATAACTACTGTCATTAAATGCGACTTTTTAAGCTTTACAACTTTTATTCGAAACATTTTTCTCTAAAATGCTCCCCCGCCGAGTTTTCTTGCCGTTGCCGAACTTATGGGACACACTGTATAAACACAAATCCCAAGAATATCGTCAGAACGATTGAGATAATTGCTTACTGCGCGATCTTTAGTCAAGCAATGCCGACCGCGGCTAGAAGACGGATAGTATCGGCCGACTATCGTTCGGGATTAAAAATCACGGAGGGACACGAATGAATGAAATAATCGCGAACTTCAATCGCTAATATTTCTTTTATCAAATATTAGAGGTTTTAGGATGAATTGTTCCGACTTCTTGATAAGCTACCTGACAGTTAAATCATTTACCTGTCTCTGTCTAATAAGAAAAAGAGAAGACAGACATATGATTTAACTGTCAAGGACCCAATTTTTGACTTGGTGTGTGAATGAGATACGCATGCGAAAATCTACAGTATACGTAACGTGAACTATACTATACATTTTCGCATGCGTATCTCATTCACCGTCAAGAATCGAACCTCAGATAGCTTACTAAGAAGTTGGAAGTTGGCCCTTAGGCTATTTCAATATTTACATATGAATTGAAAATTATAATATTGGTATAATGTTGCCGTTACATGATATTTATTTGATATTTTGTAGTCCTTTCTCTGTTTTTAAGCATTAGTCTATATGAATCCCTTATAGAAATATCATACTAAGAATCATTGATAATTACTTATTATCCAGTATTTTTAATACTGAAAATAAGTAATTATCAATGATTCTTAGTATGATATTTCTATAAGGAATGTAGAAGAACATAGATTAAACGATTCATAATGTAACGGTTCATAATCTAATGTAAAATATAACGTCGTTACATTTTTACAATAACGGTAATGAGTTCAACTGTTACTTTTATCATTACTTAAGTTATCTCTATTCAATACATGATGCACTGCCCTTATAGAAATATCATACTAAGAATCATTGATTAATTACTTAT